CAAGCTACCCACCCAAGGCCACATAGCTACCCACCCATCTATTCTATATCTAAACCACACGACACACAAGCTATCCACCACAAGCCACACACTAGCCACCAAAGCGCACACAAAGCTAACCACACACACATACACCCACACCCAAGCCACACAAGCTACCCACCCAAGCCACACAAGCTAACCACACACACACACAAGCTAACCACACACAACACAAGCTACTCCAACCCAAGGCACACAAGCTACCACCAACCACACAAGCTAGACCACACACACACACACACAAGCTACCCACCCAAGCCACACAAGCTACCCACCCAAGCCACACAAGCTAACCACACACACACACAAGCTACCCACCCACGCCACACAAGCTACCACACACACACACAACACACAAAGCTACCCACCCGAACCACACAAGCTACCCACCCAAGCCACACAAGCTACACACAACGACACACAACGCTAACCCACCAACCAACACAAGCTAACCACAACAGCACACACAAGCCGTACCACCACGCCCACACAGCTACACCCAAGCACACAAGACTAACCACACACACACACACACAAGCTACCCACCCAAGCCACACAAGCTACCCACACAACCCACCCAAGCTACCCCACACAAGTAACCCACACACACACAGAAGCTACCACACAAGCTACCCCACACAAGCTACACACACAAGCTACCACACAAGCTACCCCACACAAGCTACCCACCCAAGCCACACAAGCTACCCACCCAAGCCACACAAGCTAACCACACACACACACACACACACACAAGCTACCCCACACAAGCTACTCACACAAGCTATCCACACAAGCTCCCCACACAATCTCCCCACACAATCTGCTAGCAGTGCAAGCCTTCAGCGGTCGCGACGCACCTTTCACATTCTCCGTCTTCTGTTCGAAGCCGAACAGGCTGTGCACGAGCACGGCAAAGCGCTGCATGAAGTTCTTATCCTTCATCCGTTGTTTCACGATCTCCTTAAACTTTCCCGGCTTCACGACCGCATCCCTCGCCGCCGTGCCGCCGCCGCCGCCGCGACCTCGCGCTCCGCCCTGACTCATCGTCGTGGCGACGCCACGATTCTCGCGTCTACGATTCATCTCCGCATCACCGGCGCCCCCTACCCCGCGGATCCGCCGCGCGAGTAGCGAACCTGGGAGTCTTCCCCGCGGCTCTCCGGACAAGCTTTGTCTCTGGGATCGATCGCGGAAGCGTTGGGGATCAGGCGCGGGGCAGCAGCCGTGTCCTGGCACACATGAATCTTCTCCTCAGCGCAAACGATGCAGGCGTGCGAAAAAATGCGTGGCGTCGGACGTGCTTGCTCGGTGACCCCGTGACCCGGATCAACGCGCGGCGGGAAGAGAGTGCGTGCGGGCGTCCCGTCTCTGCGTGCGGAGGATTAGCTAGAGAATCTTCGAGTCTTCGGAAATGCGTTGCGTCTGCGCGGTTCGCCTCATGGAGAAACAGACGGCGGTCGAGTCGCGCCGGAGAGCAAACGACAACACGGGTTTATCTACCATACGTAGCCGCTCAGTGAACCACGAGCCTGCAAGTTTCAATGTTCCGTGGCTGGTCCGTGAACGCCAGCCCGCGAGGCTGCTAGTTTCACAGTCCCGTGGCTGGTCAGAGGTATCCTCGCGTGGTGTGGGGTGAGTGAGTGTGCACACAACGCCGCTCAGTGTCCAGTCACTGCAATGCAAGAAATAACAAGTGACCAGCGCAGTCAACGAGCCCCGCGGCTACTCGTGAACTTTCTCCCAGAATGTCTGTGCGATTTCTCGTAGGTGCACACACGTACACACACCATGGAAGCACTCACAAGTCTGTCTGTAGCTTACGCTGCTGCATCGACGAGATAAAGCACCGGGTCACGAGGAGCAAGCATCAAGAGTGTGTGAGCCGGAGAGTTGTGCAGCAAAACTGGACCCCAACACACACATACATACACACAGCTAGCTCCACACTCACTGCAGCTACACCACTGCAAACAGGAACAAGTACGAGCAAACACACGAGTCGACTGCAGAACGAAGAACTGAAGGTTGCCAGCCCCTAGCTGCTACATACATATATATATATAAAAGCACTTGCGTTCAGCGTGCGTCTGTCCATCTCTCGGCCGCTCATCCTCACCGACCCCTCCCTCCCCCACGGACACCCCCATCTCCGCGCCAACATGGCCTCGCCCCGAGAGTCAGCAGCGGTGCCCCTCATGATCGGTTTATTGGCACATGCAAACACGGACTCACACACGCGCGCGTGAGCAGCACGCCGCGTTCGCTCCCACACTTCCATACATGGTAGCATTCTGCAGCAATGGGCTAACCGGTGCTGCCAGCTCTGGGTAGTTCCCGTAACTACAGACTGAGCCTGCCTGAGCTGCTGCGTGGGGGGGGGCAGCGCATGATGGTGACGTAGCAACGCTACAGCTGCGTCTATGTATAGCAACGTAAGAAGCAGGCACACTGCTGGAAGAAGAGGGTTTCGCACCCGCCGGAGAGGTCGCGCACAAACCGAAACATAAGTGCATCAAGCTCGCGTGGCGCCGCCTGCATCGCGGCCAACAACGGACGACGCTCATACAAATATTTCATCGCTACATCTCGCGGCCCTCCCATACGCCATGCTCACTTTTCTGCAGGATCACATTCTGATTCTACGTCCCCTGCTTTTGCCACTAGACTAGTTCATCGACTTTATTGCGATGCATTCAAGCTGCACGCATCAAACATCTTGGGGGACCGGTCTAAGTAACAATGCCATATCTAACTTTGTGAATCAACAGCTAGCAGGAAGCTTCTTGGGACAAGTGAGACAAATCCTGTCATTTCTTGTCGGTAAGGGACTCAGGACAAAACTAACTGCAGGGGTGTCGTATCGACGGGCTGATATATGGCTGTCTGTCCGGCAATAACATAATTAAACAAGACGTAAACACACGACTACACCTCTCTTACCTCCAGCAGAGAGGGAATGTACAATGTTATTGTGTATCCCACTTATAACAGTTTTATAATGGCAGGGATTTTGGGAAACAACAAACACGATAACAGCTTCAATGGATTCGGGGGGAGGGGGGGCAAAACTAATTACCAGGATAGGCTTGCTAGGAACACAGATTCATGAGAGAAACGGACGACAGAAGGGATCCCAGTCTGCAACGTTAGTCATGCAATCAGCACGTCACGCCGACGTCTACGACATTGATCTTCATCTTCCTCGTGATTCAGCTGCTCATGTTGTCAAAACTTCACAGCCCGCTCAGTCGCCCGCTTAGCGTCCGTTGCCTCGACCCACTGCTAGGGGGGAATGGGATCGAATGGTGACCTTCAGGTGACCTCTGTGTGTCCAGCGAGTTGTCTTTGAGGATGGTGGCAGCACCGATGCGGAGACGTCACGACGTGCGGGAGAATGTCGGCGGGAACTCCCGCGACGTATGCCGATGCAGGCGACGACGCACGTCACGACTACGGATGCTGAGCGATATACCCCTCGACGTTTCGTCCGTACGCCACGATGCGCCGCTTCTGCAGTTCTCAGCCCCCGTATGTAGCTTTCTTGGTGCCTCCTGGAGAGCAAACGCGCAGACGGCGTCGCTCCGAATGACAGAACGCGTCGGTTGTCAGAAATTCCAGGAAGTGGGTATCCACGCGGTGTAGCGTCCGATTTCCTGCGCTTCGACTCGCAGTGCTTGTGTGCGTACAGTGCACAGCGCACGCACATGTTACTGTGTGTGTGTGTGTGTGTGTGTGTGTGTGTGTGTGTGTGTGTGTGTGTGTGTGTGTGTGTGTGTGTGTGTGTGGTGCGGGTGTGTGTTGTGGTGTGGTGTGTGTGTGTGTGTGTGGCTGTGTGTGTGTGTGGGTGTGTGATGGTGTGTGTGTGGTGCCATGAATGCTGCCGCTCGACCACAAGTTGATGTTTACGTATTGACACAGCATGTCAAATCAACTAGAGTTAGTCATGTGTTAGGAAGTGATTTCATAACAATGTTAACATAGAAATGTGGTGTCGGATAGTTTATTTCTTCTTTAAATGCTTACTCTCACTTTCACTGATGCCTCTCTTCTTTGCCCTTCCCCTCTCTTTCTCTTCCCCCCTCTCGCTCTCTTTCACACGCGACGCACGCACGCGTGCACGCACGCACGCACGCACGCATGCACGCAAGCACACACACACACACACACACAACACACACTCTCTCTCTTCTCTCTTTCTTCTTTCTCCCTCCCTCCTTCCCCCTCTCTCTCCCTCTCTTCTATCTCCTCTCTGTCTCTCTCTCGGTTCCCCACACTATATATATTGTTTGTTTTTTTAATATAAAATGGAATTTTTAAATATTGTATAATAGCTGCTCCTTGAATTAGAGACCTGACCAGGTATAATATATTTGTATACTACATGTATATTATTCCAGGTAAGGTAGCTCATAATCATATTAAAACTATCATACTTCATTACAGAAGTTAAAGGTCACAATGCGCCATCCAAACGCTAATTTTCTCAGTACTAGACTAGCAAATACTCCGTGTCATGCATAATCATACTACCTTACGGCAAATAAACTCTAGTTCCTCCCATTTCACTGCGCATTGTCTTATAAAAGGCGTATTTTGAAAATTACTCCAATGTTGTTGAAATTCTCCGATGTTGTTGACAGTTTCCCCAATCCCCAAGCAACCGTGCAGCGGTGCTGGCGTACAGCGGTACGGGCGCAGCAAAGATAAAAACATGTGACGTCACGTCACCACTTCGAGGCTATTTTGTTTGGCAAACAGTCGGCGTTTGCGCCAGAATGCCAGTTTTCTCACCTCTTTCTTGTGGGTTTTAAGCAAACGCGAAGTGAAATGGGAGCAACTAGAATTTATTTTGTCATAAGGTAGTGTGATTATGCATGACACGAAGTATTTGCTAGTCTAGTACTGGAGAAATTAGCGTTTGGATGCGCATTGTGAGCCTTTAAGCCACCCTAGTGACATACCCGTACATACACACATAGATCACCATATACACACTTGTACACATGGTTCGAAATTCCGTTCAGTTATGTTCTACTCTGATGTGTTCCGAGTGTAGTTTCACGATTGCCAATTACCGGTATTATAAATTTAACAAGGTCCCTTGCTACATATAGATTTTGGACACATTATTTCAGGCCAAGTATAGCAGTGAATACAAATTTGCCTCACGTATAAAACAACACAAGTAAGATGGAGAGTGCGCCCTTAATCAACTTGATACCTTGCTTGCTTTTGATAGCCCTGTGAATGTAGTCATAGTGTGGGAGGAGGAGGGCCGCTCCTTTCACAGCAAAATAACTCTCGCTGAAGCTGCAATATAGAGAGAAGCCATTCACAGTGTTACTCCATCCCCCAACAATGCTTCGAGCATAGTAATAAGCAAAATTTTACAAAATATTAAGCATTACTGAAAAATACTTCGATAAACAATTTCCATACATAATGTCACACCTTTCACGTTTACATTTCTATCATAAATCTAAATTTTTAATAATTCAATAAATTGCTGTGTAATTATGTTCTATACATCCATTCACCATAATACCAGGTGTAACAGTAAACGTACATTGACAGCCAACTGCAAACTTAACTAGTACTACAGTGATATATATCACTAAATGTTTGTAAGCAGACTTTTCAACCATTATATATCACACAATAACAGCAAAATACCTTCTCTGTCTCTGCACTGCAAGGTTTGCTTGAAATGCCAGACTGCTACAGAAGTCCTGAGTACCATCTTTCTCATCATATTGCTGTTCCTAATCAAGTAAAAGGGCCAATTCGATAATCAGATTTAAAGCTTGTGCTAGTAAACATTTTATACTCAACTTAAAGTGAATATGAAGTGTAACCTTCCATGTCTTGCGCTCATAGGGTCTATGTCCCCCAGGGTACTGCCGGAACGTACCCTGGGTACGGTCCGGTATACCGGAATGTACCCTGGTAACTATCTGATATGGTTAGGGTTAGGGTTAGGGTTCGGGTTAGGGTTAAGGTTAGGGTTAGAGAGTAGGCGTAGGTGACTCCCTAGACTCGTTAGTGGAGTAGGCGAGGTACGGTCCGGCATATTAGATAGTACCAGGGTACGTTCCGGTATACCGGACCGTACCCAGGGTACGTTCCGGCAGTACCCTGGGAGACATAGACCCTCTCAGCATGTCTGATGCACACTGCAGCTATTATTTATACCACATGCAATGATGCAGCAGCACATCACTGCATGTTTTTACGTATTTACATATGATCATGACTATTTGAATTGTAAGAGCCACTAAATGTAAAAAAACACATTGGAAAACTTTTATTCGATATGCTAAAATAACCACACCACCACAACATCACACCCACTATGAGTCATATAGTACATTTTATATACTATTCATATACAATATATTGAAATTTAATTGGTGAGTAGAAACTGAATTACTTGAATCCAGAATTAAGGTGAACGAACATAAAAAAAGGAAATGAAAACATGTGTAAACATTGTTTTTACCATGACGTTTATTCTTTGTCACACCTGGGAGTTTATTGCATGATAGCCTCTTTTAATTATATAAGTTAAACCTACTTGGCAGGCCGACAGCCAAAGCATAAGTAAACTCAAATCCATTATGTAAATACATGATTTGTACGCATAAAACAATTTTTCTAGTGTAAAACTACAACTGTACATGGCCGAGTGCCCTGCTGAATACTGACACACTGATAGTGATATAGATAAGTTCCGGTAATGTAAGTCACATACGAAATGCAGCCATTTTCATACACACTTTAAAAATTTCGATTGCATTAATCTCCTAGATCTAAACCATGCGAACATTGCTTTACCAGTTTGCTTTTTTTATCCTACAACCCTAAAAAACATTCATTGGGGGTATGCCACCTATGATCGATATACAAATCACACACGATATTATTGTCGTTGTGCATTGCAATATATAGCGTCAGAAGCCACAATAAATCACCCACTCCTGTAAACCGTCATGGTACAGATAAATATTGACTGCTATAGTTTGACAAAGAAAACAGACATGTCATTAATGACATTTGCCTTAGATACAATAATGTCACCTATACCTGTTGGCAGGGATAGATTATCGTAACTTGTATATAAATGTATGTTCAAATAAGGAAACACAAGTGGCCCGTAAACAGATTTGTTTTCAATCATTACCTGGACCAAACTGACCAAATTATTAAACCATAATTTAGTTTTTTTCTTGGTTCATTTCTGTGGAAGTGGGTAAAAAAACATTGCACTTACAATGTTTCATGACATTATGATTATCAACCGCTGAACCATTTTCTGGTCTCACACTGACAGACCACACTGTCAGTGACGCTCATAGCCTATAGGGTCTATGTCCCCCAGGGTACTGCCGGAACGTACCCTGGGTACGGTCCGGTATACCGGAACGTACCCTGGTACTGGTAGGTAACCATTTGATATGGTTAGGGTTAGGGAGTAGGCGTAGGCGACTCTCTAGACTCGTTAGTGGAGTAGGCAAGGTACAGTCCGCAGAGCCGTATCTAGGAAAAACAGCGCCCGGAGCAAGTGCTAAAATTGCGCCCCTTCCAACTTCTGACGCCAATGAACAAAATTAAGAAAAAGAATGGAATGTTGAGTTTTTGGTTGTTCCTCAGAGTAGGATGCCAATACTTCTAAACTACAGCTACTATCCCAGGTCCAGGTAACAGGGGCGTGTACAGGATTTGTACCAGGGGGGGTCTAACCGTAACCCAAACTTGCGAGCACGCGAAGGGGGGGTCAGAAAAATTTTGAAATTAGACCCCCTTAGTTGGGTTTTCTGCACGAGCAGGGGGGGGGGTCCGGGCCCCTGTACACGCCCCTGGGTAATCAACTTGTCAAATAAAGGATTGAATTATTTCAAGATATCATTTAGTAGGCAGATTGTTTTTTTCCTTTGCCTTTTTTCCTTTTTTGCGCCCCCCTGAACATGGCGCCTGGGGCACGTGCCCCCCTTGCCCCCCCCCTAGATACGCCACTGACAGTCCGGCATATTAGATAGTACCAGGGTACGTTCCGGCAGTACCCTGGGCAGGGTTCGACACTAACCCACGTCCGACCGACCTAGTCGCGTAAATGCTTGGTCCGGTCGCATACAACCAGAGTGCTAGTAGCCCGACTGGTCGTGTTAGAATTAGTCATATATACAGGGTTCTCCAAGCTTTTTCATTATAGCATGGCGGGTGCTGCCTTTACGGTCCTAGTTGCAAATCGCCGAAGGCGGTTTGCATGCTAGGGGGGTCCGGGGGCTATGATATTTAGCACGGCGGCTATGATATTTAGAGTGGCGGGTGCATTTTAGGATGGCGGGGCTCGACGATAGCTTGGCGGGCCGCCAGGCTATAAGTGCTCTTGGAGAACCCTGATATATTGCACTGAAAGGTCACCACTGGCTAGACTGGTTCGTGGCCGCACTGTTTGTCGCAGAGCGTGTACATTGTCTAGCAGAGCATGAGGCCGGATACCAGTCTACCCTTTGGCAAAAACAATAACGTAACTTGGCTGCCAGCCGCAGTAGACGATCGATAAACCGTGCGCTCGTGTATGCCCGTGGTAGAATAAGAATGCTGCACGTGAACTCGGCCCACGCGCGATTTAAAGCGCGGGAAACAGCATCTATGAATTCATACGATGACACACTCTTATCTAAATAAAGTTTTTCATAACAATGGTCTGGGTCTGGGCTAGTGAAAGTTAGGTCAGGGCTAGTGGTTTTCCTCAGTTACTAGCCCTATGGTCTAGTGAAATAAAAAGTTAATGTTGAACCCTGCCCTGTGGGCCATAGACGGTAGACCCTCTCAGCGTCAGTGACTCAGTACTGCCTACTGGACAGTACCTAATTAAACTTACGTAGGTGTAACTAAATGTGCAATGTGCAAGGGTGAGACCGTTTTAAAATAATGACAATTACAGTGACTATATACAATGCGCTGTCGCTGTGACACAACCTGACAGTGTAACTGTAAGTGACACCTGTCACACAACGCGACTGCGAAAAGACATTTAATGATTTATAGCGAGTCAAGTGCCAAGTGACTAACTTACCAATAATAATGACACCTCGGGACTGGTGTTGCTAGAACTAGGTCTTTGCACAGTGACTAGTGCCATGTTACATAATAGACCTAAAAGTCTACATGTAAAGAACACAAAACGTTATACAAAGGCATTAACACATTTTGTTACAAATACAGTAAAATGTTTATGTTTATCAGCCATTATTGTCCGCGAGTTTCCGATTGCTCCACCGCGCATGAGCAGAAGCATACGTGCCAGCCAACATACGGGTAGCCATGCTAACTGTACATCCAGAAGTAAAAATCGTGAACTGGACTTTATCTGAAATATCATTTTTAAAAACGAACTAAATTAGAATAAGGATATATTTATGGAGAAATAAACAGAAATACCTTCACGCAAAATTATAACAGAGAGCGATATAGCTGCCAACAGTCTCCAAATCACTATGCCGTATATAATAATTAATATCATTATATTATTTTATTGATATTATAAACATAATAACAAAATATTGTGTACAGCTCAGTGTTCCAGATGCAAGAAGCTTGATATACAGCAGATATATCAGACAGGGCAATATAT